CTGAGCATAGATATCATATAATTCCAAATAATAGAATTGAACACTACGTATTTAGTATTCGAACGAAAGCTGTACCATTATGGTTTAATTATATAATTAAATTTGATTGGCTAAATACTATTATTATTATTATAAACATTGATTTTGCTCTTTTTCTTTAATTACTTATCATCGTATCGTTATGGATATGTAGACATTTGTTTAATATATTTTTCGCCGGCATGACATATGGAAAACATTATCCTTCAAAAGAACCTTCAATAAATACTTATTTCTAATGTAACCAAATTATCCGAACCGTTAATAACAATAATTCTTACGATAGAGTCTTTCTGGAAAAATATAGATTCATCAAATTTGACCTTCAAACAATTGTTGAATTTCTCTAATGATAGGAAATCTATGAGGCGTCAGTAGTTTTATTCTGTCGTCTTTTGTCTAGTCTGACAAAAAAGAATAACTCTCTGATAGATCAAAATCGAATGACCTTTTTGCTAGAAAATTTCTGTTATTGATGCGTACAAAAAAAATTAGAAATATACTATTTCAAAAAATTTCGAAATCAAATTTCTTCAACAAAATGATTAGATGCTGTGAATATTTTAAGTTTATTTTCAAAAAAACGAACAAAAAAAAATAAAAGAAAAAATGCACTAGTATCTTTTAGACATCCGTATCATTAATCCATAAGGTATAAGAGTAGATCGTTGATTTGACATCCACTCTATTTCATCAGCTGGAATAATATCACATAATCCAGGTCGACCTGGATGTATACTGAATGTTCCTGGTTTTTGTTTATATTGAAGAACTACTTGAACAGTATAAATTTCACCTCTACGGTCTGGTAAGATGAATGTTTTTATTGGACTATACCGTAAGTCACTAGCATAGTTAATCGATGGAGATGTTAACCATTGCTGTTCGTAGCCAGAATGATCCGAAAAAATTTCGCCATCGTTTAGTAGATCACCAGGAAGAGGTATGAAGCGATTCCGTAGTATTTGTTCAAGTTTTTTTTCACATGTACCGTAGTAAGACGTAGCCCAACGTTGAAATATCTTTTTTTGTTGTGATTGTGCTCGATCAGTTTGTATGCGAACACGTACCCATCCACGTGGTATAGTATATTCATATCCACCTTTCCTCAATGTGTTTGGATTATTATTTGAATAATGCTCTATACAATAACAGTCATACTTTTGTTGAAAATAAACATCAAATTTTAAGCTTTTGAAGTATTCCTGACAAATGGACAACATACAGATCACGTCAGTCGTTGGGCCTCAATATTCGCGTATCGATCCAGGTTGGTCATAAACAATTGCAGACACAACTATCTGTGGTAATGGTTCAACTGGTACCATCGATGATTGCCTTCTGACAGATGAACGAACGAGATCTGGAGACGATCGATCATGTCTAATGGAAGAGTCACCTCTAGATAAGAATGCAACAACAGTATCATAAGATGGAGGTAAGTCATCAGGTATAGGAACTCTTGTTGGAGGAGTTGGATATGATTCTAGAATTAAAAAGAAGAAAGAAATCGAGCAGAAATTTTAATAGCAATACAATGAGATATGTACGAAATGCTGAGACGAAGTCTTTAGGTGTATGATTCGATAAGAACTTCATAAACGTTTACAAGGTAGTGCAATAAAAAGAAAGATTTTAGTCAGCACATGGTGTAAGTTACGCTTTTGGTAGCTTACCTCTGGATTGAGGATTCACTACTGATGGTGGCAGTGGAGGTTGTGGGTCCACTGATGGTGGCACGGGTCGTGGTGGTACATAAGTACAATAATCATACAATTCTTTTATAAAACATCCCCAATTCAGACACATTAGTAGTATCGCCAGTGTGCATCCGATGCCCAGACCCCACTGCATGTCAGTCAAATCTAAGCAAGAAAAACAAAAATTAAAAATATATTACACACTCATAAAACTTTTCAACTCACCATTTGTTCTAGATTCTAATGGCATTGTTCAACAGCTGTTAGTATAATATTTATTTTTGAATGTTAACATTTTAATTTAATCTAAATAACTAAAATATGGTATTTCTAACAAAATTTTTACACAATTAATTTATTTTTTATATCAGTAACATCAAATAATTCTACACATACGACTAAAAAGAATTAATATAAATTGTGCAAGAAGATCGTGTTGTTTGGAAAACAAAACATGCTTGGTTCACTTGATGAAAGCACTTTCAGAAAGAGAATCGTTCTTCATTTAAAAATAATTTTTTTTTGCCTTTTTGCTTTCTCTTTCTTCCTATCATCATGTATTTAATTATGACAGAGTAATTTAAAATAGTTCTTTATGTTCTTCAAGAGTTCAAATGTACTCTTCTCTCTTACTTCTATCACAACACCAAGTGTAAAAGCATATTCAGAAAGCGAGAGTGTTGCAATACTTCTGCGCACTATCAAAAAGAATGTTTATTTTTATTCCTTGAAGAGTTTCTCGGTTTTTTCCAACTGGAAAAATTATGTCATGCGCTTCATTTGCCTAACAAAATTTTTCTTTTCGTGATATTTAAGCTCATTGAAATATATTTTTTCTTACCCTATGCTGTACGGTGAAGATTACAAACTACATAGAAAAAATGGTGCGTTCATACACTTTTCCCGATCTTATTTATGTGCTCAGTAAATTTTAGAACCCAGTTAGTAGTTGGCTTACATAGAAACAAGAGAGAGTGACTATTGGTAGCTCAGGAGCACCTTTCAATACTGTGATGCAACAATGATATTCTATGGATGTTAAAATATGCCTAACAAGTGTCTTCTCGGATGGCAGCTTAATCTTTGATATATAAAAATAAATAGCCTGATTAGAGATTCAAACAAGATCACACCTATGTATTATTCAGGTTTTCTGTTCTTGAGCGGAATGTGAAACTGTAAGAGGAAAACTACATGTTCCCTAATGTAGTAAATCAGACCGCCGAGACGATAAATCGAGGCCTAGCGAGTGGGATCCTTTTTCAATCGCTACACTCAATAAAGCACTGAGCCATAAATTGTACTATATTTTAGAGTAGAAAACAATTCCTAAATATTATATAATTTCGTGCTTAAAGTCTGAATCTTTCGAAAAGCATATTTCTTTGATGTGTGGCAACTCTTTATTGTTGGATCCTTCATTTCTTTAGGTATAGATTTCATTTTATTTTAGATAATTAAAATTCTCTATCAATATCAAATGTAAATTTTGCAATGAAATTAATTTTGTGCCGAAATCAAGTAGAAGATGGCCTTCTTTTTCTTGTTATAACTGCGGCGCTGATTTGCTGACAAAGCCTTACCAAACCGATCGCCATACTTCGTTGTATTCAAGACGAACATTTCTTGAGGATGATACATCTGATTATCCAATTCCATTTCTTCCACTAATAATAAAAGATTTATTAACTCAACGAACACGTAGAATGGATGTCTCCATGTATTCACGCCCCTTAGAAATGTGGGATAGTTCGTATCCAGTAGATTCTGGAGTCTATACTCCACGAATATCTCGTAGATACAAGAAATCAATCGATTCACGCGACTACATACCTGATTTTCGTAGAGAAACAACAGATATGCCTATTGCTAGTTTTGTTTCTCGATCTCGGCTAAGAGAGGAAGGAATCTCATCTCTATCAACATATCGTCGTGATGCTACATTTCCAGAATCAAAGTTAACACGAGAACGAACATCGAGCAAACCAAGGTTTTGCTCATATCAAAAACTCTGTCGAGAATATGTATGGTCTCTTAATTGGCCACGAGAATATTTCAATCATCGTTTTAATCGTTGTTATTGTTCTCAATGTTATCCAGAGAATTATAAAGATGTATACATAACGGCTGATGAATTCTATGTTATTCCTCGAGGTTGGGTTCGTTTTGGTCTATATGTGGACGAAGTTAAAGCAAATTGTGAAAATCTATGGAATACATGGATTGTTACGTATCATGGAACACAACTACCAGCAGCTCAATCTATCATCGCTCATCGTCAGTTTTTATTACCTGGTGATACATGTGATGATGGAACGGTAATTGGTATTCGTAAAGGTCATATACCTGGCAAGAATCAAGTTTATACTTCACCGACAATTAAGTATTCGGGTTTAGACTGCTACTGTAAGAAATACCCATATCAAGCGATCAATGGTCAATGGTATCAGGCGAAGATTGTTCTTCAATGTCGACAACAGCCTGGTACTTATGAAACTCAAGGTGAAGCAGTTGGTAGTCGATCAAAACGAATCTGTAATATAATACCGAATGATAGAATTGAAATTTTTACAACTGTGAGAGCAGCAGTCGTACCCTATGGACTACTCGTACAACTAACACCAATGTAATGATGTTTCAATGAGACATTTTATTTACTTAATTTTCATCCTCTCGATTAACATTCATGTTTATTATAAAGAAATATAATTTTTTTATCTCTGTAATAAATTTTTTTTTGCATAAAAATGTATAATTACTTGAAAATTCAGCATATGAAGGATTAGAATGTCTCTTCATAGTTTTTTTTTGCTGGACAAGATAGCATTTGATTGGGCGACATTGAAAATGAAATTCTAGTTTTCCATGCACAAATGGAAATCTCCTTACTGATCATTTTCTATAATTGAACTTCAATGTCGATGGCACCGTTATTTCTTTGTAATTTGACATTTAGAGTGACTTAAAAAGAATACCTATCGAACACTCATCAGTGCATACAAATAATTATTATATTGTCTTATAATATCATCAATTCCAACAGCTATATTGCTGAAACAGATAACATCGAAAAATGTATATAACATCGACATCAAACGACTATTATGCATAATCTTAACAAAATTCATAAGTAAAATTTACTTCGATCTTGTCAGTGTGTATAAAATTTCGAGACGTAGTAATATTCGAGATCCTGATTAGAAACACAAAGTAGTTCACACGTCGTCGTTTTTTTATTTAGTAGTACCACTATAGCAACAAAACAGTATAAAACGATGTTATTGAACAGAATGATGACGCTATTTATGACTATATATTAAACAATGTTCTTTGCGACAAGATAGTAACCAATAGCGGATAACGACTCCTTGAAAGTGTGAGTTTAGATATACATGAAGAAAAGATCCACATTCACACCCTCAGTCTACGTTCTGACTAAATTTTACATTCTTATTTTTTGCACGAAGTATTCTTTTTCATAAAATAAATTATTTATTTTAGTGTATGATATATGAAGTTTGTGCCAACTCTTATTTTTTACTGGTGATTCCTTATATGATCAAATAGAAGTTCTAAAATACAGAAATATGTATTTATTGAACTTATTTGAAAATGAAGCTTTAAATAAAACTAGATTTTACTACTAGCAAAGGCACATTAAAGTATCAAAATATAAAAAAATATTACATTATAGTGTGTAATATTGATTTGTATTGTCGCAATATCGCACTATAACGAATATAGCAGAGCGCTAAAGGGAGTTGTCATGCGATCGTAATAATGGCAATATTACGACGCTATTTAACTGTTATCGATGACATGGGAGACGATAGTTACATGAGCATAAAAACTTTGCACAGCTTCGTTATAAATCAATATATAAATCATTCGAAATCATGAATATAGGTAATCGATGATAACGATATTTTTTTTTAGTAGTAAGTTGATTTTATTTCATGTGAATCATGAAAGAAGTCTTCATCTCTTTGTCTACGAACAATAAGGTTTTTTTCCTAAAAAGTTTATTCAATACAGGTCATAAATTCATTTAGAAACGAATAAATAACATTAAAAATAAAGAGATAAAAGTAATTGACATTTTGTTTTTTATATAATTATGCTTATAATGTGATATGTGACATTCATTTTAATTTTTTTTTTATCGAGCTGATTCATCGTCCATAATATAAAACTGAGAATCTATAAAGTGATTTGCTTATTAACTGTTCGATTCAGTCAGAGAATAATAGGCAGAAAAACAAAACAACAGTGTTTTATCGAAACAACATTCGTGTCTTATATAAATTCTTTTACACAACAAGAAGTAGAATCAATGAGTAGCAGCAGTAATACTTCATCGTCGCGTACAATCAACGATGGTCGTACTCATTATAAAATAACAAGAACTGTAACAGGTTCTGATGGTAAAACATATACAGAAACTGTCGAAGCTGTTGACGATGATGCAGTCAATGTGAGTTTGTTTGATAACAAAAGCTGTTTTTATTCTTATATCTTATAATAGCTTATGCGAGATTTACGTTTACGTGATAATAATGTAACCGATATGAATCGATTCGATTCTTCTTCATGGACAAATCCAATAAAAGTTTCTCAACCATCGACAGCTGCTAAACGTCCAACAGTAGCTCAAGATAATAAGGAATTTGTTCGAGAAGCATTACAAGTACATAATGAATTACGACGAAAACATGGTGTTGAACCTTTAAAATTAAATAATGATTTATCAAAATTAGCACAAGAATGGGGTAAATTATAAATTAGTATTCTAGTCATATCAATTATTTATTACATGTTTGATTTTAGCTAATCATTTAGCTTCAACTGGAACACTTGTACATAGTAAAACAAAATATCAAAATGTACATGTTGGTGAAAATCTTCGTAGTCAATCATGGTCAATAACAGGTTCATATTGTTTTTCTATCTCATGTTTTTTTTTTGTTCTAAAACGAAATTTATATTTAGGCAAAGACATGACTGAAGCATGGTATAATGAATGTAATAAATATGATTATAATAATTATCGATCTTATCAATCTGGAACTGGCCATTTTACTCAAGTTGTATGGAAAAATTCTCAAGAAGTTGGTTTTGCACGAGCACAAGGTACATCAATGAATTTTGCTGTAGCTATGTATTATCCAGCAGGAAATTTTCTTGGTGAATTTGATAAAAATGTTTTTTCGCCACGTTAAAATTTTTTATACAAAACAATTTTATGTAAACATTTTTATTTCAATCATTGCACATAACGATATAATTTATATATTCACATCTTTCTTTTTTTCCCTCGTGTAACTATCGTTTAATCAAAAAATAAATAACAAGAAAAACAAATAAAGCAAAAAGTAATAGATATAAATATATTTTCCAACTACCCGATCGAGCCAATAAGACAACACGTCGACGTGCTTGAGAAACTAAACTATCCGTATGATCCATATTATCATGTATTTCCTAAATAAATGAAAAATAAAAATTGATTTGGCTGTATTGAGAACTACTATCCATTTTAGAATACAATATACTTCACTGTTTTTGGAATAATTTTTGATAGAAACATCAGAGAGATCTGTAGTTTTCATTGTTTAAGAGAGAAGATCCACAGTCATCAAGGTATACTGAAATCTGAAGTCTCAGGAAAAGTATCGAAACAAGGAGAAGAAAACAGGTTCAATCATGTACTGATTCAAATGAAATATGAATAATTATTTTCATTTGTTGATCGGACATTTCATTAATATATTTATAATGTCAATTAATCTATAAATGATGCTGTTCTCTTATTTTTATGATTAATAAAATTCTTTTTTTTTTATCATTGATGAAAGTCCTCATGTTAATCACGTTTTATTCTCGAAATATTTTTTCTTTCGAGATTTTTCTTTTCTACGTTTTTTCATTATACCAATTTATCAAACAGGATAATGTATTAATTAAAACATTATAACTAATGGAAAAAAGATTCTTACATTCTCGTTGTCCTAATTTTCGGAGGTTTACTCTTGATATTATTATCTGTTCTGAATGAAATCAAATAAAAGTTATAATCCAAATGAATGATTAACATCCTTTTATTTCGCTTATATTTCAAAGATAATCAATTCTAACCTTTAAATATTTATTTTGAAATTTAGTTTCTTCACCAATTTGCACAGCCAAATGTTTAAGTTGATTCACTTTTGAATTAAGTAATTCTGTTCGTGCTTCATTTTGTTCTTCAACATACGAATAATTCGCACGTCTTGAATGTGTATTTGATTGTCGTCCATCACCCATTTTTAAAAATTAAACATCTGTAACTAAATTAAAATCTTATCAATATTATGAAATCTTTTTTTTTTCAAATTTATTATTGTCAAATTATTTTATTCAGTTTAAAAATGATAATATTAATCACTCGTATACGTCTAATATAAATGAGATCAAGCAAAAATATTACTAAGCCAAAGCACGCAAATACCATCACAAAACACAAGTCTTTGTCAAACTAGGAATGTCATAATATTACTGTTCATAAAAATAATGAGATAGAAGACAAGGACGGATACTCAAAATTGTTAGCAACGAACAACAAAAACATTTTATTTTTCACTACTACTACCAAAAAAAAATTTTCGTTCTTTCAATTTTGTTAAACTCGATGAACGTAATCGACTTCCACCATGTGTTGCTCGATAAAATGATGATGCTTGGCTAAGTCGTTCACGTAATCGATTAAATTCAGCATGTTTAAGTTCTTTTATTTTTGCTTTTAATTGATCACGATCTTTACTTGATTTTATACCCATTGCCTAGAATAATATCAATAAAAAAAAAAAAAAACTTCTTATCGAAAATATTGTTTACCTTCATTTTTGTACTATCAAGTAATAATAATTTTTCACCATCAATACTACGATTGAGAAATATAGGAATTAATGATGTCATTGCTTGAGCTGTTAACCATTGAATACATTGATCAGATGACCAATTTTTTACTTTAACATACTTTAAAAGACATGATTAGAAATATACAATTAACTATCAATTTACCTCATCATTTGAAAAACTATCGTTGACTAAAAACACAAAAAAAAAACCAAGAATAAATAATTTAAATATCAACAATAATCTTTTACTTGTTTGTTCTAATGATGGAACTATTGAAACATGAGTGTTAGTACTGAAAAAATATAGATCAATAATAAATAATTCTTTTATTTATTAATATTATGATTTACTTGATAATATTACAATCAATCAAAACTTCACCAAGTGATGGAGTAGATAAATGTTTCGATGGTAAATTTTTTGAATATGTTTTAATTATATGAGTTTTATTCATTAATGAATTTTGATTAGTCTCAGTAGCAATTTGATCAATTGATTTATTATTATTAGAAACTAAAAATAAAAGAATAAATTTCAATTGAATGAAAATATAAGTTTTATTGATGAATATTTATACCAATTTGACAAGATTCTTGAGTTTGTTTTATATATGTTGGTATTTTATCTAATGATATTGATGGAAATCGAATAGATGATGTTGCAATAGTATGTCGATCTGTAGGAATTAATTGTTGACTAGAACTTGTTTGTGTTCGATTTATTACACGTTCTGGTATATCAAGTGATTCTGACACAATATTTTCATTAACTTTAGATGATGAATTATTTTCAGATTTTGCTATTAAATTAGCAATAGTATTTTCAAGTTCTTCAACCTAAAAAAAAATAAAATGAATTCTTATTTTCATCTTACGTCTGTGTATTCTATTTCAAATTTTTTTTTCCGAAAACATTTACATTATCAAATAAGATGTTTTTTTTTCTTACAACCAATCTCAAGTGCAATGTCACTGTATTGAGTAAACAGCTTCTACGTACTAACAAAAGAACTACTCGAACATTATAACTCGCAGTTTGAACTCATAAGAAAGTCTTGGTAAGACTAGAAGAATCCTCAAAGAGTTTGTCTTCATAAGTCCCTGAAGTCAAATTATGATCGTTTTACTAAATTCTTTACCCATTGTTATTAGGTATTTACTGAAAAACTAATGATGAAATTTCGACATGTAATTGTGCCCATAGATTAGCAAACTCAATTTTTGTGACATGTCTATAGCAACTGACTATTTGTTAGAAATTTCATATTTCGACAAAGGAACATTCTCATTGGCTGAAACTCCGTTATTTGATCTTTTACTAAACATCTAAAAATCAGTGAAACAGTCATAATTTGGCTCTAGAGGCATATGAGCGCAAACTCTTCAAGGATTTTTTTCAGTCTCATTGAGACTTTCTTGTGAGCTCGAACACTGAGTTACAGTTGGGCTAGTTCCCTTGTAAGCAGATATAATATGAAACATGGTTTTCTTGTGACTAATATATACAGATAAGTTTTCTTTAAGATGTCTCTTATTGCAGAAGAACATATGAAAAAATAAGACTAACAAAAAAAAAATCCTATGCTCATTAGATAGACCCTATTGAAACTAAAAAGGATTCTTGCTCATAGATCTTTCTTCTTCCGTTGTGAACATTATCATGGACTTTTCAATGAACTATCGTATCCTTCTAAAATCATTTTCGAGTTCAAATTCTATACAAATAAAGTTCTCGATGAAGACTAGTTTATTATGAACATGTCAAATTTTTTAATATCTAGTGTCCTAAGATACAAATATAAAAATAAAATTTGCTTGTATACACAAACAGAATTTTCAATATTGGTATATAATGATAGAAGGTACTAGAAAGTTTGCATTCTAAAGTTAATTTTGAAACTGATCTGATAAAGATCACAGCATTTTATTGAAAAGTTCATTAAAACAGTCGTAACCAAAGAAGAAGATTCATGGACACGAATCTTTATTATGTTTTCTTTACTCTCAGTAGGAACTATCGAATGCAGGAAAATGTCATATAATAAACGATTGATCAATATGATAAGGTTCTCGTGTTAATATTGTTTATTAAACACGGCATGATCTATGTTTACTCGAGTAACTAATGTTTTCTTTTTCTTTTCTAATTTGATGCTTATAAATGAACTACTCTATCTAAGTCATACAATTTAAACTTAAGAAAAAAAAAACATGGATACTTTCATACATATCTAATGTCTTGATATTTTTTTAAAATTCTTTATTTGTATAGAATTCTCATATATTTATTCATAATCACAAACCTTTTTCATTAATTCATTGATACGTTTTTCTTGTTGTTCATTTAATATTGTTTGTTGTTGACGTAATTCTGTTTCTCTAATAAAACAAAGAGTACACAGTTAGTTAAAGAAATATAGAATATGAAAAAATACAATAGCTTTTTAATCTTTTACATGTGCACAAAATAAACAGAAAGCAAATAATTTTAGTTTTTACCAACACCTGAATACGTACTATATTTTATTTGTTTCTTTTAATTAAGAAGGATCATTGTCATTTAAATTTAAAACAGAAAAATTATTTTCTTTTTTTTTCTACATACCGATCTTCTAATTCTTTAATTAAGACTTTTGCATTGACATATTTTTCTTTGATTTGTTTGAAATCATTTTCTATTTGTTGATAAAGTTGCTAAATAAATGCAAATCAAAAACAAAAAAAAAAAAATTACAATTTTAAGAATACAAAAAAATTCATTTACTTGATAATGTTCTTTTTCTTTTTCAGTATTTTCTAATGTTTCTTCTAATGATTCATAACATTGTTTAAGTATTTCAATTTCAAATTCACTTGAAATTTTTCGTTTAGTTTGCTGTAAAAGAAAAAAAAACAAAATCTCAAGAAACAAACACTTAAAAAATTTACTTACTTCATGATCTTCTATTGCATCATCATCAATAAGATTTTGTCCATAATATTCTTCATGATATTTTTGTAATGTTCGTGACATTTCTTCACGTTCTTGATCTATTTGTAATGAACGTTGTATAAGACCAGGAATTTCTGAATTTTCAATATCTTTATCTCGACCAATTACAAATCTAAATTTTTACATTTAAAAATCTTAAATAAAAAGATTTATTAATCATACTTTATTAAACCAGATGCTGATTTAAGAATATTTTTAGCATATGCATGTGTAACACCAACAAGTGAATAATTATTTACTTCGATGATTTGATCACCAACTTGAATTCTAATTAAAAAAATAATATTCAAAATTGAAATTGAAAAATTGAAAAACAAATCACCTTCCATCTTTGGCAACCACACCTTGAAGATTAAGGGATTTTACAAAAATACCTAATTTCTCCAAACCATTATCAGCACCTACACCCATACCCAACACACTATAAAGAAGAAAAAGGAAGCCAGTCAACGAGTTGTACAGATCACAAAATTGAATACCTTATACCAAGACCCTCAGGACCTAGAACAATATAGATCATGATTAAAATAAATAATTATATTTTTTAAACATACTTTTTTCAATTTCAACAGTAAAAACATTCATTTTTTCAATTCGTTTTTCTAATTCATATTCTGCTGTTGCTGAAAATGGATCAATATCCTCATTTCGTCGATCATATTCATCTACTGAATATGTTGGATAAACCTAAATAATCAGTGTGATTTCATGTTTGTTTTTTTTTCTAAAAAGAAATCATTTGTTCTTACTCGAATTGGTGCATTACTAAATCGCACTCGTCTAGTATCATTTGTAGAGTTCTGATTATCATCATCAAGTTCAGGTATACCTGGTCGTTCATGAAAAAGTGGTGATGATGTTCTATCATTATCTTGTACATTATCCGATTCTAAATATTATCAAATATAATTATTCAATTCTTTAACAAGAACGTTAACGACTTTTTCTTTCATCGACTATTGTTATGATTCTTTTGACATGTTTTTACGCCAATTAGAAATGTTTGTCGTGTCTTATGATGATAAGACGAATTGTAGGCGTTATGAAGTATGACATTTTTCTCTTTAACATTTTTGCAAAAATATGTTCTATGTATTGTAAGAAGATTTATTGATATCTTCGAGTATGAACGGCTTAGTTATTTCTATGAGATTAATTTCTTTCGTATTCATAAGATTTTATATCAATAAATTCAGAGAATTTTAATCTTATCAAATATATTTATTTACCATTAACTATTGTATTTTCAATTGATTTCAATTCTTCTTGTATTTCATCATCTGGAAAAATTAATTTTGGTAATGATCGTTCGATTTTTGTTGGTCGAACAATAATTGTATTAAGATGATCCATACGTTTAAGTGCACTCGATGGTACAAGAAAAGGAATAGTACGAGTTTTCATTTGTTTATTTGATGATTTTGATAAAAGATTTATTCTATCATTCTCATCACGTTGTTGTTGTTTTTTATATTGTTCAATAGCATCAGCAGGAAAATCATTATGTTGATCTGAATTTGAATATTTTCGATTAATAGCTGCATAAGGAACTTCATCATTAGAATTTGTAGTTGAATTCGATGATTTACCAATAAAATGTATAGAAACATCACGAGTACGTTCTTGTTGATTATTAATTATTGGTTTTGTTGTAAATAATGGTAAATTATTATTTATTGATTTTGTTTCTAATGTTCGAAACATTGCTTTTGTTCTATTAAAACGTGTTGTATAATCATTAACTATTAATGATGAATTAGATGGTTGTTTATTTGAATTTAAATTATTTGATATTAATGAATGTTCTGTGAATACATTATGTAATCGTGGAATATGATTATTATATTTGTTGTTGTTGTTGTTATTGATATGAGAATTTTCTGTTGAAGTATCAGTGAAAATATTTGATGCAGATTCAGTATGGGTAAAAAGAGATGGTACTGCTGAATGAATAAGAATATCTGCCATATATTATTTTCGGTTTAATTGTTTGTTTAGACGTAGTACTTATCCGCCTGTCGTAATATCTTTTTTCTATTTCACTAACAACCGTTGCATGTATCAATCAATAATGACATATTTACGGTATTCTTGATCTTTTTTAAGCAATTTTGATAATAAGCATTATTAATAGAAGAACAAATTCGAATTGATTTAAAAGAAAAGATGATTATCTAAAGAAAATAAATTATGATTTATAGTATTTGATTATGAAAAAGCAAAAAGATTGACTAGGCTCTATTTTGTATGTTAACGATGCAGAAGTATCGACAAATAACGAAAGTAAACTTTCGTTAGTCGTCACCAACATCAAATAACAATCCTTCAACGTACAATCAGTCATAAAGCATTTTGTCAATATTACGCTGGAAGTGTTGAGTGAAAAAAAGGAAAGAAAAATAAACAGAAGCATTTATTTGTTACATAAGAAGACCAATAAAAAAAATTTGCTATTTTTCGATACTCGATTTCCTACGCCCTCTACATGACCCCGTTGACTTTTTGTTATTTGCCATATTCGTCTTTTTTTTTTCACCATAATTTGAAGAAAAATAAAACTAACAGATTTATCTTGCCTTTATATCAAAAATCTATTTATAGGATACACTATTTGACATACTTCAATATTTAATGGTTTATATAGTTTAAATGCAATCGTGTGTATATATATTCTAAACAAAAGTAACTTGTTGTCAACAAATATTTTCGATTGAAGGACGAAAAAATGATTTTGTCCTGTTTATTATGTACATATTTTGTCCATTTCTTTTTTGTTCTTTTTTTCTGCTGTATTTCCGATAGTCTAGTTATCTTTTAAAACGGATACCTATTCAATAGAATTTCTAGGACAAAAGAATGTCACATGACCTTAATATAATGGTGTAAATGGCAAGGCTAAAAAAATGTTCTTTTACTTGATACTGAATGTGCACAAATCTAAATGATAAAAAATAAAGCATCAGCTATAGTTATTCGCAGCCTTATATATTTTTTTCTTCTCTTTTTTTCCTATCGATTTGGTGTTTTTCTATCACACAATTGACATAACGAGGCGTTGTTGATACTTGTTGTTAGGACTCTTTGTTGTTGATCTACATTATATTTCTATTATAATAATTATAACGGTACTTTATCTTTATAAAGATTACTGATTGATAATAAGATTTTTTCAACTGTAAAGTTTTTTTACTTGAAAGAACTTTTTTTCTTATAGAGAGTTAATTAATTTTTTGACATTATAATATTATTTGAGGACAAGAATATCAAAACATAACGTTAAGTACATCGCAAAATTTTTGCCTTGTTGTTAAGGTTATCACTCTCATGATAGATAAAAAATAGTGGGAAAACGGAAGTATCTATTTAAGCGTAAATAGAAAAAAATAATACGCTAGTTTGTATTGTAATGGCGTTTGATAAAAATAGTAATTGATGCGTATGAAGAAACAAATAACAACAATGATAAATACAATACAATTGTCAAATACAGGAGATGAAAAAAAAAAGAACAACAGGTAAAGTATTAAGCAAAAAAAACAGTCATAATTATTTTATTAGAAAGATTTTGATAACTGAGACGTAAAAAAATACATTTCCTTTTTTTTTTCTTTAGATTATTAGGCATATTTCTTCGCTTTCTTTTAGCGCAGAATTTTATGCTCTCTTGGGACTATTACTATTTTTAGTTTTATTCCGTTCTTCTCTTCTCAGTTTTCTTCTTCTTCTTCTTCTTCTTCTTCTTCTTCTTCTTCTATCCATTCACAATAAAAAAAAGGTATATTTTTGAGTATTTTATGTTGTTGCTTGTTTTTTTTCCTTTATGCTAATAGAAAAAAAAACGATAGTACCTATAGAAAAAAAAACCTTGCTCTTATACATTAGACATTGTTTGCATGTCTTTAAGCAAGTTCACTAATGCATTGAAAGTTAGACGTTTTTGACCTTCAAGTGTAGTTATGGTGAAAGAATGCGTTTACATAGTCGCAACAACTTTTTTTTTCTTTTTTTTTCTATGTACTAAAAAACAACGAGACTAATTAGCATGTATGTTTACGAGGTAAATAGGTCATAAAAAAAAGGAAGTTTTATTTCAAAATAAAAAATCTGTCACTATTATCACTTGTCAAATAAGTGTAAACGTCTTCTTATTTTCTATTAATTATTAAAATATGATGACCTTTACTATTATTTTTCCTAAATAAGTCATAAATAGCTTGTTTGTGTCGTGTTCTGAGCTTATTTTTTCTTTTTCTTTCTTTTTTTCTTCCTTTTCTCGTTACTGCGTTTTGCGTTTTTTATTCATCTTATATGAAGAAAGAAAATAAGACACAAAGAAGAAAAGAAAAAAAAATATTCGACCAAAGCTGACAGGCAGACACCCCTATACAAAGAGATAAAGTAAAACTAAGTGAGAGTAGCATATGTAAAGTAGTATGAAAAAAAAGGAGTATATCATTTTTCGTTTCTCTTGGCTTTTTTTTTCGTGTTTGTTTGTTATGGGCTTTTTTTTTTTTTGTTCTAGAAAGTTATATTTCGTACATAACATTGCTTCATGGTGGATTTTTGTCGTCTGTCAGCTTTGCCGAGTGATAAGTCATTTGGTTCTGGCAATAGTAATAATAATCATAATAATACAAAAGACGGAAGTTCAGCTTTCTTTCCAACAGTATTTGTAAGTATTTACTATAGAAGAAACGAAAATATGAATAAGACGTAATATTTTGTTTTTTACCTTTTTTTTTTTGCGTCCTTGAGTCGTACATGTACAGGATGTTTTTTGTCTAAAATTAGACATCAGCTTAGTTCAATACACGCTTTGTGTACCCAAGAATAGAACAAAGATTATGTTTTCAAGGCTATTATGGAAGTTATATAGTTGCAATGCAAATAATAATAAAAATATATATATATATATATATTTATATATATGTATATTAATGTTTTTTATTCACTTTTTTAGCTTCCTTATTCGCATTTGATTGATCCTGATAGACAAGAATCAGTAACAGCAGCGGCAGTAGTGACAACAACGGCTGCTACAGCTCCTTCAGCATTAACCATGGAACAAACACGTCTTGAAGAAGAAAAATTACGTGTTCAAGCTAAAGACAAGAAAAATCAAAGTAAACACACGTCTGTTTTCTTTTTTTATCTTTAAGTATATTCATAATATGACTGTTCTAGGTGCTAATGCATCTGCTGAAGTAAAAACTCATTTAAAAAGTTTTATTTGTCGTAAATTACAAAAACAAGGCAAACTAGAGTAAATTTTAATATTATTTGAAAAAAGAAAAACAAAAAAAAAAGAAAAAGAAATTTACTATTCGATTTTTTTTTAAATAGAAATCAAGATTCAAATGAAATGCTTCGACGATTTCAATCCGAACCAGTACTTGCTAATCCTCGTCTTGAATCGGGAAATTTTAAAATCAGATCAGACTTACGTCAACGTCTTCTTTCTCAACATAAGCAAGTTACTCCTATGTCAGATAGACGTCATCCAATCCGTTCAACAAATTTAGCTCAACAACAACAACAACAAACTGGTATAATATATTTAATTAAAGAAAAAGAAAAAAAGAAATTCTTTCCTATTTCAAACGATTATATTATCTAACTTAGAAACATTTATTTTCTTTAGTTCCAACAATGCCATTAATGTCATTCACCTCCCATTCGCCTCAATTACTTTCTCCAGAACAATTATGGCTTGGTTTTCCACGTTCAGTTTACGCTTGTTATTCCACAGGTAATATATAAAAAGAAAAAAAAAGACAAAAATAAAATTTTTTTTTTTTATAAAAAAAAAAAAAAAAAAAAAACATTCATTTTTCAGGTAATCTAGGTGAAAATGCTCAACAAAATCGTTTAACACCAACAATACATGAAAAACATCATCATACAAATATTCTTGGTCCAAAACATTTTATTGTTGAAGAAGAAAATGAAGCATTATTAGCTAAAGAATTACAAGAAGCAAAAATTCAAAGTTCTCATAATAGTCATAGTTCAATGCATAGTAGTCAACCACAATTATTAAATTTAGAATCTAATGATTTTTCTATTCGAAGTCCAAATGTAAAAAATTATTGATATTGAATTTTTATTTAATTAAATTTTCTATTTCATAGATACCAATCGATCGTTTAACATTCCATTCCAGATCATTATCATCTCTATCAATGTTACCATCATCAAAAGAAAAAAAAATACCAAAAAGTCTTTCAGGTACAATACGAATGCATTTTACAACTGGTAAAATTTTGTCAAATTAAATTTTTGTTTTTCTTCTTATCTAGTTTTTCTTTCTATCTTAGGACTTGCTTATGATGATGATACATTAAAACATGAATGTTATTGTAAACGTACAGATCTTCATCTTGAAAATCCTAGTCGTTTACTTGTTATATATGAACGATTAAAAAAATCAAATTTACTTGATGATTGTGAAATTATTCGTGGTTATTGTGCAACAATTGATATGTTAACTGATTGTCATGAGTAAGAAATAAATATATATATAAACAATCAACTTGAGAATTCATCAATAAAGTTTTATTTAAATTATATAGCATAATAGAGCAAATTTAAATTCTGAAAATTATTGTCTTTTCGATTCTATCATAGATTAAATTCTTGCATGATAATCAGCTTTTAGTATTATTTTGACATATGTTGTCATATAAAAAAAGAAAAATCTATTATTATCACAAATGTTTTCCAACTTCATTCTTAGTTCATCTATTAATATAGTAAAAACGAACTTTGTAAAATGAAAATGATTTCAATGTTTTTGATAAAACTCTTATAACTTATGAGATATTTTCAAAAAATATATTAGCTTATAGATCTAGTATACAACATTTGTCACGTAAGTTTTAATGTTCGATGACATATGAAAAATGTTTTCTTTTCGAATTATAGTTAGCCTAGTACATTCAAAAGATAAATTAAAATTTCTTGATAAGAACATTCCATTCTTTTAAAATTATATATAGAAATTCCATTTGAAAGAGAACTTAAGAGTCTTTATAATTAAATGTTTAATGATGTTTAATATTTACTTAAAAAGATAACGTTTCAACCTGGATATTTAGAGCCTGTCGGATCGGGTCCAGGTGTGAAAATTTTCAACTAAAAAAGGTTCTCGTATCTTCGAGGCGATTATCCGATTCTGATTAGAAAATTTCATTGAGAATATTAAAGTACAGTTTGATCGAGTCCAGATCTGGATCTCAAAGACGTTCATAAACTGGGTTCAGTTCCAAAAATTTTGGATTCAACAGAATCAATGGATGTTAAGATCCGATAAGTTAATGATAGACAGATTATTTCTGGTTTGAAAAAAGTCAAGTACCCGTCGAGTATTATATATTTGCTGCTATAATCTATTTATAATTATATTTTCCGAGAATAACCAGTATATGAATAGGAAATATGTCAGAACAGCTGTATATCAAGTCTATATTGAAACTACATAAACATCTAAGGTCAAATGATAAACATAAATATTTGTATTCTTTTAGTCCTGGTCATGTTTATTTATTTGGTTCTGATCAACGACAACGTAGTCAACAATCACTAGCAATATTCACTGAACGACTTAATTCTATAGTACAATTACCATGTGGTGGTTTTGGTATACATGATGATACAGATACAATATGGAATGATGAATATACAGCACGTGCATGTCGTTTAGCAATTGGTAATACAATTGAATTAACAAAATGTGTTATTGATGGAAAATTAAAAAATGGTTTTGCACTTGTACGACCTCCAGGTCATCATGCAACACAAAAACCATTAGGCTTTTGTTATTTTAATACAGTAGCTATAACAGCAAAATATTTGAAAAAATATCGAAATCTTGATCGTATTGCTATTGTTGATTGGGATATACATCATGGAAATGGTACACAAGAATTAACATATGATGATCCTAATATTCTTTATATATCATTACATCGTTATGATAATGGAACATATTTTCCTGGTGGTGGACGAATAGAAGAAGTTTGTTGAATTTTTTCTTTTTCTTCTTCTTTTGAAGAAATAATAAATTAAAATTTAATCTTCATTTTTAGTGTGGTTGTGATGATGGTCTTGGTAGAAATGTGAATATTGCTTTTTCAGCTGAACCACATGTAGTTATGACTGATGTTGAATATTTAGCAGCATTTCGGTAAGAAATAATATTTATTTGAAAAATTAAAAGAAAATAATAATTGATTTTTTGTTTTTCTTTTAGAAGTATTGTTATGCCAATATTGGAACAATTTCAACCTCAAATAATACTTGTTTCATGTGGTTTTGATGCATGTATAGGACATGTTCATCCACTTGGTGGTTATGAATTAACACCGACATGTAAGAAGAAAAAAAGAACAAGAGATTCTTTTTTGTTTTTAAGTCATATGAAATAATTGATTTTGTTTGTTTAGGTTTTGCTTATATGACAAAAGAATTAATGAGTTTAGCTGATGGAAAAGTTGTTCTAGTTTTAGAAGGTGGTTATGAATTAAATGCATTAGCTGAATGTGGAAAACTATGTGTTGAAGCATTGCTTGATCGACCAGTAAATTTTGAATATTTTCTTTAAAATTTTTGATTTTGTCTTTTTTTTTTTTT